AATTGAGTTCTGTTTGTTCTTCTGTTCAAACATCTTTGATGTAAACTCTAAAATCTTAGCATGGTTTGTAAAATGTTAAAAAAATTTCCCGATTGTAGTGATGACAGATGTCTTTAGTTTTGACAAATAATGAAATTAATCTTAATCTTTTATCACCAGACTTTCTCACCCACATTTTTCTGCACTTTTTTTCTTATATTCTTCAATATTTCTGGAAATGAACCCTAATCTAATTTGCAGCCAAGAGACAACATTTGAGTCAATTATCAGTTTTTACTCTAAAAAATTTGTCTATATATTTTGTTCCAATTTTCTGACGGAAAGTGCAGACTATAAACAGGCTCATTTTGTTTGATTTGTGATGAAAGGAAGGAACTGAAAAGATTAAATATTTGAAGTTATGAAACAAAGCAATCATTTCCCGGTGATATTAACCTGAAGTATTTTTAAGTAACAATTTTGGTCATCATCAATAACCCTGAAATCTGATAAAATTAATATTTGATCAGCTTTTAAAACTACAACCATTTGGACAATATTAATTAATTTGACTACTAATTACCGGGGTAATTTGTGTTGTTGATCATCTCAAAGTCTGTGTGACTTCAGATGGGGTTTTCGTAACGTGTCATGCCAGTTACAAATTCTTGTACGTCTTTCTGAAAAGAGTATCGGTACTTGTGTTGTAATTACAGTATCACTGTTTTCCATTATTGTGTGTTATCACTCACATAGGTGGTGCTACCCAAAATTGCCATGAATCGGCAGCAGCGTGCCTTATCAAAGGCGATACCGCATATGACATGGGTGTGCCATCAATGGGCAGGCTTGAAATTATAGACGATAACACCTTGAAGCTACACTATGAAGCTACCGTGACCCCCGCTTTGGCTGAATGTAACGGAGTGAAACCAAAAGTAATTATGCGTTTTGTTTGCCCCAAGGACGAGGGCATAAGAGGAGGGGTAAGTTTGATTTCTTTGTAACTTTGTAAGAATGTATTATATTTTGAAAATATACATGGACAGTGATTGGTTGATAAGAACCACCTGTTGTCATGTGAAGATACAAGAACAGCAATTTGTCCTCTGCTGTTGTAGATGTTATGACTTTAATGTTAATTAATATGTGTGCCCCTGTTATCCATATAAAACACACAACAATGTTGTCCCATTAGTTTGTGAGCTAGCACTGATTGGTGTAATCTAGTATGCCAATCCGATTGGATGATAGCCGGTCGTGTGAATGGAACTTGAATGAACTTAATACTTATTGTTTTGTGAACAGGTAGGAGAGTGAATTGCAGTGGCAATGGATTGTCTAAAATCGTTATTCACTTTTTTCTTTAGGGAAAAGATCCCATGATGCTGTCGAGTATTAACTGTCAATATGAAATTGAATGGTTCACAGAGTACGCCTGTGAAGAGGAATACAGTGTCTCATCCACATGTCAACTGACACAAGACACTCATGGCATTGATATTGACCTTTCGCTTCTTCAAAAACCTTCAGGTAAGATTTACAAGAAGTACTGTAAAATACTTTATTTTCGCTGAAGAAATGATTCAGTGAAAATAAAATCCTGCTAATATACCTTTTTTCCTATATTTTAACACTCAACTCGCTAAAAATCAGTGAAAATAAATTCCATACTTGCATACTTCCATAAACTCCACTTGAAAAGTATTTTCAGCAAAAATTAATTCCAGCTAAAATAAAGTATTTTACAATATCCTATGGGATATATGTATCGCTGGTAAAATACAGCTCTAATTATAGAAGTTCACAGGATCCAAAAATTAAATTTCACTCATAAGCCACTTAAATATGACTTATTTTTAAAAACAAAAATGCATTTTTGCACTGATCATGGTAATGGATCATTTCCTGTTCATTGCAACATCCTGCATGATGCAGACAAATCAAAAGTTAAAACAAGACAAAGGTAATGGTATTATTGTGTCATCAAAACATCAT